GCCGCCACCAGCGCCCTGGTGACACGGGCCAGCTGCCAGGAGCACTCTGTCCTCCAGGCCACCTCGGACCGACCCCTGCTCGAGAGGCTCAAGGTGAGACCTGGCCTGGGGCTGCTGCTCTAAGACAAATTTGCTGTGTTGGGTTTCAGTAAGGAGCTACAGAAGTGGGCTTGGTGTAATCATTTGGTGTGTTGAATCCAAGTAAAGCACTGTGGAAGCAAATCCTTGGGCTTCTGCAACTCCATGGATTTGGGAAGTATAGGAGAGGAAGCATGTTTCTCATTAGACTTCATGGCTTTGAGGACTGATATTGTCAAATGCCAGATCTTGGGACAATACTCCTACTGGAGGTAAACCCATGCACTTTTGGAAACAGGATATCAGCAGTGATGGTTTAGTCTTCTCTGGAGCTGTGGGAATTGGGATTTTCTCTTTTTGAGTAGAGATTTAACTTTATAACAAATTCTATTTGGCACTTCCTACCATGAAGATGAGAACCCTTGGCTGCTTTTCCTGAAATGGCCAAGTGTGTGCATTTACATGTCTGAGCATAGCATGGGGACTTGAAGTACACCGTTCATATACACAGCACCAAAGCCCTTATAGTGATGACTTCACCAGATAAAGCATAAAGATGATGATTTGATATGAAAGTTTTTATTGTATATAATTCTGACAGAAATCTAAATCTTTGTAATGGTGCTAGATCTCAACAGGAGAAAACTTTGATGCCATTCCCCATCAGCTGCTGAGGAAGTATGTGGGGTACGCTCGGCAGTATGTGCACCCCAGCTTGTCTCCAGAGGCTGCACAAGTCCTCCAGGAATTCTACCTGGAGCTCCGGAAACAGAACCAAGGGGCAGACAGCACCCCCATCACCACGAGGCAGCTGGAGTCCCTGATTCGCCTGACAGAGGTAAATGCAAGCTGGAATGCTTAAGGGATTGGAAGCAAAGAGATTATTCCTGAGGTATTACCCAAATCCCACCAGTTTTTACAGCTTACTCACCACTATGCTTTCTCTGTTTTGTTAAAAATAAAAGGTGAGAATGCATCAGACTTAGAAGGGCTTAAGAGCTGCTGTTCCTTAAGACTTCTTATAAAGCAAAACACCCTTGAGGAGATTGAAAGAGAGTGTATCACATTCCCCAAAAGGAGAAAGCAGGTGCAGGCAGGAGCAACTGCTGCTCACTTTGAACCTAGACTGCTTCTGTTTTCCCTAACACTGCCTTAACAGCACTGTCTGTGATCTGCTGCTTCACAAGGCTACACTGCTGAAAAGCAAATAAACTCCAAGCCACAGCCTAAAAGTGCAACTGTGCAGGGGGACACAGTGACACACTAATAAAAAATAGAAAAATCCTCTAATCCTGTATGCTTAGGTTCTATCTCTGCTCCTAAAATTTGTGCTTGTAGCCCTTGTAGAGTGATTATAGCCTCTTTTCACATCAGTTATGATATATCTTAAACCTTTGTGGGATATTTTTTTCTGTTTTAAGGCACGATCAAGGCTGGAATTGAGAGAGAAGTCTACCAAGGAAGATGCTGAGGATGTAATAGAGATAATGAAATACAGGTAATGGAAAACACTGCTTAAAAAATAACTAAAGCATCACAGTGCTATTCATTTGAAACTTGATTCCTTTACATATTCAAACACAATGAAGAAATCACTTTATCAGGCTTAGAACCATGATACTTCCTGAAGGGAGGTTGTAGACAGATATGGGTTGGTCTCTTCCACTGGGCAGCACTGACAGAACCAGAGGACACAGTCTCAGACTATGTCAGGGAAGGTATAGGTTGGATATTAGGAAACAGTTTTTCACCAAAAGAATAATAAAGTACTGGAGTGCTCTTCCCAGGGAGGTGGTAGAATCACCATCTCTGGATGTGTTTAAAAAAGGACTGGACATGGCACTTGGTGCTATAGTCTAGTTGAGGTGCTAGGGCACAGGTTGGACTCAATGATCTCCCAACCTCATGATTCTGTGATACTACATTATTTTGTGATTCTGTGATGCTACTATTTGGATTTGTTAGCTGCTCCTTAAAAGCTGCCAGCAGCTCTAAGTCAAATACAACTGCTTAGGCTTGTGAGTTGTGAGGTCACAGTGGTGCTGCCTGTCTGGGCACAGTAATGCACACGTGAGGCTTTGCTGAAGGATTTTTTCTCCCCTGTGAGTACTCTGTGGTGGAGGTGAACAATTAAAGTTCAAGAGTGATTTGGATGAATGCTTAGTCTAAGTTCCCTAGAGAGTGACCTAATAGAGGGTGGTTTTCTATGTGGCTTCTGAAAGTTCTCAAGCATCACATTTTGGGAATCAAATCCACATATGTTTGCTTTTCTGTCCTGCTGAGAGTTTGATCTCTTTTTGTAACCTGTTTGTAGCATGCTGGGCACCTACTCGGATGAGTTTGGGAAGCTGGACTTCGAGCGCTCCCAGCACGGCTCTGGGATGAGCAATCGCTCGCAGGCCAAGAGATTCGTGTCTGCCCTGAGCAGCGTGGCAGAGAGAACCTACAACAACCTCTTCGACCTGCAGCAGCTGCGCCACATCGCCGGCCAGCTGCAGCTGCGGGTGAGCGCCCCCTGCAGCAGCCACACCCTGCCAGGCCACCCTCGGTAGTGCTGCCAAAGGGACACGGGCAGAGGCACCTCTGCTGCCTCTTTGCAATGCAGACATAAGCAGTGTGCTGCTGTTGGGCTGAGCAGAGCTCCTCAAGTGTCTGTGAGCTCCACTGACCCCACAGCTGTTTGCAACAGCAGCTCCTTGCACTGGTAAGGGCTGGTCCCACTGATGAGGCTGGCTCTGAGCAAGATCCTGGCTTGATCTGTGAAAGGCAATGATGATTTCAGTGCTGCACTCCTTCTGCCTCCCCAGAGGACACATCTATTTTTGTTCCCAAGTTCAGACTTGTGGTGTCTGTGCTCTATTTCAGCAGTGCAGTGATGTTTCTGCATCACCTCCTCTGGATGAAATATGCCTTTAGGTTTTCATTCTTGCTCAGACATCCTGAAGTTGCATGTGGAAAGGATCATCTAGGACACATGGCCACAAATGTACTCTGCCCTGTAATTGATTTGCATTCTGTACTTGTGAGGGCTTCAGCCAAACAGAACTATTGCTAGCAAACTGTATATTTGCTCCACTTATTGAAGTTATTTTAATTAACCCTAATTCTCCCTTCATATATGGACTATTTTTGCCCACCCAGGGTTGCCATTTCTTGCTGTTTGTTTGGGGGATCCATGGGGAGTCCCCCTAAGCTGTGAGTTGGCTGGCAGCAGCAGGCAGGCAAGGAGACTCCACACAGCTTCTGAGCGTGCTAATTAGATGAGGGTTTATTGGGGGTCCCAGCCCTGGGAGCAGCACAGTTTCTGAGGGAGAAAGGGGGAAGGGGGAGAGAGGGAGAGCCTAGGGAGAAAAGGGGCTAAGACCTTCTTGTCTCCCTTGCACAGCTTAACAGGGAGATTCAGAGTGGGTGCAGAATAAGACTTGGGCCAATGGGATTACACACACATGAAACATCAGGACAGAATCACAGGCTTGGAATAAACTGTATATTTTTGAGGGGTGACACAGAGCATACCATTTAACTAAAATGTAACACCACACATCACCTCCTCTGGGTTAAATATGCCTTTAGGTTTTCATTCTTGCTTCAGACATCCTGAAGTTGCATGTTGAAAGGAACATCATCTAGGACACATGGCCATGGAAATGTATTCTGCCCTGTAATTGATTTGCAGTCTGTTCTTGTGGGGGTTTCAGCAAACAGAACTATTGATAGCTAACTGTACTTTTTGCTCCACTGACTACTTATTGAAGTTAATTTAATTAACTCTAATTCTCCCTTTTTATATAAACTACTTTTGCCCATTCAAAGTTCTATACCTGGAAATTAGGGAGAGTTGTAGAAATCATGCATTTGTGGTAGATACTTCTGTTTCAGAACTGGAATTTACACATATGTAGCTGCACCCTTTCTTCATGTCATAAAGGAGAGACTGCTGCTTCTGTGTAACACTGCAGTAAAACCAGTGTGTAACTAAAGCAGCAAACAGGGGGGCTGATGGTGTGAGATCTCTGGTAGGTGAACAGTTTGGCAAGAAAATTCACCTATTCTTAGCCCACTTCATTTCACTGAGTTCTTTCAAATGATCTATGTTGCTTTACATCAGGTAAGATGTCATTCTCCAATTTGGTATTTTTGTCTTTATTTTTCCCAGGTATCTGATTTTGAAAGCTTTATTGGATCCCTGAATGATCAGGGTTATCTTTTGAAGAAAGGTTCAAGAGTTTATCAGCTCCAGACCATGTGAGAGGAGTCACTGTGATGGATTTCCTTGGGATGATTGTCCCTCTGCACTGCTGACCTGGAGCAGGAAGGCACACCCTGAGCTGGGCTGCACCTGCCACAGAGCTGGGGTTTGCTGGGCTGGAGATTCTCCTGCAGAAAATTAAACTGGAAAGCTGCAACAGGACAAACTGGCACATGGTACTGCTGCCTGGCTCATCCTACAGCTCTCTGTTCCAAATGGGACCTCACCATCCCCCAGGAGTGGAAGTTGTGTTTTATTCTGTTACAGTGCCATAAGGGACTTGACTTCTGAAAGAGATGCTGCACCCACAAATTCCAGCCCAGGAATCTTCCATGAGAGGATGGTATGAGCTGTACTTTCAGCACTGTGGTTCATTTAAAGTCTAGAAATGTTTCCAGTAGGTTCTGACAACAGTGTTTGATAGCTGTTACCAAATGACACTTCACTGAAACTGACTTTTCTGCTTTGAAACGTGGTCTTTGAAGCCAAGGTTTTATTTGAAATCCAAGTCTGATTTAAGAGAATGTCCTTATTACAATATTTAATTTGTAAAGCAGGGATTGGATTTTGACTTGCATTAAACTTTATATATGAGAAATATGAGTTGTTCAAGGCTGTTTAATGGCCTTTACAGGATCTGTAACACCTACAGGTTCTGTTTGTTTCTGTGTAACTGTTCCTGACACAGAACCACGTGTGTTCAGCAGGGCTGAAGTGCTGAATGCTTCCTGACTTAGATGAAATCAGAACCATGGTCTGGTGCAATGCAACAGCAGCTGGGAGCTTTCAGTGTAAGAATTAAAAACCCACACACCCCCACACGCCCTCCCTAAAGAAAAATATACTTTAAAAAATCAGGGCTGCAGTGCAGATTCTTGTTTTCCCTCTTTTATTTCTCAGGTAAGAAATTATAGATGACAAAAAGCAGAAATACTGAAAGTTAGTGCCTCACCCTCTCATTTAAGGGACATCAGGGACCAAATATACTTGAAACTGAAGACTGGTCAGCCAGATGAAATGCTTTAAGTACAAAATCATAGTTCTACATGGGAGCTCTGAAGGGGCAAGGTCTGCTCTATCAGCTAAAGGGCAGTAGTGTTGGAGACTGATTTTGGCTTAGTGCAGGGTTGGGGACAGGAGCGCGCCCCAGGAGCCAACAAGCGACTGCAGCTGGGAAAGCGAACTCATTCCCGTTCCTCCTTGAGACAGCAAACGCGGGCAGGCCAGAGCCAGGAGCAAGGGCTGAGCTCCAGACACCGTTCGCGCTCTCTGGGAACTTTCTTAAGGCAAAGCCAACCTTCCCCTTCCTCCCTCAAGGGCTTTCCCAGAACGGCGCGGCCCCGCCGTGAGGGGGAGCGGGGTGAGCCCGGGTAGCCGCCCACCGGGCCGCCATGGGCATCGCCCTCCGCGGCCGGGGGAGAGCCTGAGGCGGGAAAGCACCGGGGAGCGCTTCCCCGGGACCGGCCCTTCCACTCGGCTGCCTGCCGTAAAGCGCGCGGCCTGAAGAGGGGCGGGGCTGACGCAAAGCGCCGCAAAAGGTCGCGCGTCCTCGGCAGCGCTCGCGGCACACGCGCCGCGCGCGGCTGGCGCGCCGTGCTCAGTCCCGCGGCGCGGATGGCGCGAGGCCGCGCGCTCCCGCGGGCAGCGCGGCCGCGCGCGTAGGGGCCGCGGGCAGCGCCTCTCCCGCAGCGCTTCTCCCGCGCCGCTCCTGCCGCGCCATGCTGGCCGCCGCCTGGCTGGGCAGGGGCTCCTGGGGGCTCCTCCGCGGCGCGGCGCCGAGGCGGCCGGGCGGCGGAGCGAGGCCTCTGAGCGGCCGGCCCGGCTCGGCGGCGGCGGCGGGAAATGAGGCGCGGCGCGGCGGGGGCGTCTCGTGCGTGCCCGCCTGCGCGGGGCTCCCGCGCCTGCTGCGCGCGCCCGCCGCCGCCTGGCGCCTCCTGAGCGGCGGGGCCGCCCCGCCCGAGCCCCGGCAGGAGCGCGGCGCGGCGGGGCCCTACGCCGAGCTGGTACGTGGGGGGCGGCGGGGACGGGCGGGGGAAGCCGGGCGGGCTAAGCCGTGTCACACCCAGCGCTCCGCGGCAGAGACTGTGCCCCGGCGCTCTCCTGCCCGAGGCAAAGTTAATGTTTAGCAGGTCGAGGCCGTGCGCCTCGCCAAAGCAGCGCGCTGCTTCCAAGAACTTTGCCGGCTTTCTGGCTAGTTAAGCGGAAAAAGTATTTGTAGCGATTAAAACTCTGTTACGTGCCAAGGCGGGGTTTGAGTTCCTGCCCTGAAGTTTTTTCGTTTCTTGCTTTACAGTATGAAAACCCCTGGACCATCCCAAATATCCTGTCCATGGCGAGAATGGGTCTGGCGCCAGTTTTGGGCTATTTGATTGTTGAAGAGAATTTCAACGTTGCCCTCGGTGTGTTTGTCCTGGCTGGCGTGACAGACCTGGTATGTCGGCTTGGAAGGGCTTTGGGGGCGTTGGAACAGACTCCTGTGTAGAATGGAAACGGACAAAACAGATGTTTTGTTTTCTAGGATTTGTTTTTAGATTTGTTAGTTTCTAGGAATGCTGTGTATATCCTTTGTGGTGCTGCAAAGGGAATTTGCAGGTGCCTGAAGGGGACTTAATGCTAATGGAGGAAAGGGGAATGTCTGGACTCCCTGACCAGCCCTGGGTGGGCATTGGCCACTCCGTGCTTGTGCACCGGCTGGTCTGTTAAATGATACAAGTATCAGCTAAGATGTATGACATTTTATCCTAGTTAAACTCGCTGTTTTACCTGATGTCATTCATTAAATATCTCTAAAGTAGCGTACATGAGCTGTTGTGGTTCATACCCTTCTAACAGAGAACAATTTAATTTTGGTTTTCCTAGTTGGACGGATTTATTGCACGGAACTGGGCTAATCAGAAATCAGCACTGGGAAGTGCTCTCGATCCCCTGGCAGATAAAATCCTCATCAGTGTGCTCTATGTGAGCCTAACTTGTGCAAACCTTATCCCAGGTGAGGAAATGTCATTTGTGTGCTCTAGATGAGGTAAGGAAGGTCGGTTTGTGTGTAGCAACACTTCTGGTGTTTCTAAAAGGAAAACTGTGTATCTCTTGGAACTCTTGCTTTGCCCTTTACTCCTATTTAAGCACTTCCACAGGGACCCCACAGAAAGCAAGTGCTGCCACATACAAAGTGGCATGTACTGCAATTTCTAGGTGCTCTTTCTTTAAAGCAATAATAGTAGCTCTATAACGTTTTTCATGGACTGGATTGTTTTAAGGCTTCAGCTTAAACCCTTTCAGGAGCTCTGTTAAACATCCTCAGTAATGTACAGAACTCATTCAAGAGAATTTGGGTGTGGTTATTTCATCTTGCTTCCAATTTCCTGCTCTTTTGGCTGTGTTTTACCTTTAATCATGGGCAGTTTTTCACTGGCTGGTGTTGCCTTGCAGTTCCCCTGACTTCCATGATCATCCTGCGGGACGCAGCGCTCATTGCCGCCGTCTTTTACGTGCGATACAAAACTCTTTCTCCACCGGTGAGTGCGCAGCATCAAAAGTGTCTAATCATAACAAAAGTACATACATTAATAAACCTAATTAACAGCAAAGCTGTGGCCAAGAGATTTGTCATCTTGAGGCTTGATGGTTACAAGATGTAATGCTTGTTCTTTTGCCAAATAGATTTCTGAGCAGAGCAGTGTTTTAATAAAATATGGTTTGTAAAGATAAATTAGAGCTACTGATAACTTTTTTCCTGTGTGTGCTGTGTAATAATAAATCTTACAAAAGAGCAGTGTAATTTTAAAGTGCTACAGTTGCCTTTTCTTTGCCATGTGAACAGGTATATCAGATTGAATGTACAAGGGCTGCATTTTTTTCCCTCTTTTCTCCCCCAACAGAGAACCCTGAGTAGGTATTTTAACCCCTGTTATGCTACTGCACAATTAAAACCAACATTTATCAGCAAGGTAAGAGCAATAACTCGTTACAAAAGATAACTCCTGGGTACTTGGAGCATTGTGTGGTTTGGAGGGTGGGGATAATTTACCACTGCTGCTGAGTACAGTTTCAAAATAGTGCCAACTATACCTGGATCCTGAAAGATTTTCAGCTATGCTCTGTCAGAGCACATGCTAATTTGGAGAAAGATGCTTTATTTTAAGAAGGTCTCTAAATAAATTTTCTTTATGAAAACTAATCCTTAAAGCAGTAATACAAGTGTGTGTTGGTACTCCTTTTACTCCTTCAAGTTGCTCACAGTTCCTGTTTTGCTTTTCTCAGATGAACACAGCAGTTCAGCTGATTTTGGTGGCGGCTTCTCTAGCAGCACCTGTTTTCAATTATGTGGACAGCGTATACCTGCAAACATTATGGTAACTGATATCTTACATCTTTTTCCCCAGATAATTTAATGTGCTCCTAAGGAAACTGGTAATCAAGATTAATTTGTGTGGAACAAAAAAATCTTCTGTGCCCAGAAGATGCAATAGGCCCATATGCTTGAATTTTTACACCTTTAGTCTTAAATGACACCAGAGATAGATATTTATTGGTACTTAATGAAACTAGTTAAGATCCAGGCATATTTGCTTAGAAACAAGTCTTTGGGGTAGGCATGGTGTACACAGGCAAAACATAAATTCAGATCAGTGGAGAAAAAAGGAGCAGGAAGAAAGGCTGCATGAATTCCTCATTTATTCATGCCACAAGTGTCCTTGAGCAAGCAACCTTGGGATCAGCAATAATAGCCATTCTTATTTTTGCTTTATACAGTATCTGCTGTCTTGAAATCCAGGTTTCTGCAGCCTGTTTGAAAAGCACATGGAGAAATGGTGATTCCTGCTAGACTTTAGGAAGGAAGGAGAGGGATGGGATAAGAACAGGCATAAAGGAACTTTTCTCCTTAAAAAATGCTGTTCTCTCTGCTCTCATTGAGCTCTGAACTGCAGCTGGCTGCATCTGTTAGAGTGCAGTTATTTTTCCTGAGCTGTTTGGCAAAAGTTCAGAACAAAGAGTTCTGAAACAGCAGATGTCAGAATTACTTAGTAACTTAAAGTAGTACAAAATGCAGTGTTACTTTTCTTCTAAGGAAATAAAAAAAAAAACAAAACAACCAAACCAAAGAAACCAAAACCACCAACGCAAACCAAGAAGTGCTTAAGGAACTATGAATGAACCTTGATCTTAACAGTCTGTGGTTTTTTATCCTGGTGGTAAGACAAAATCTAGAGTTGCCTCTGGGTGTAATTTGCCAGGGTGTTGTGTGAATGCTCTCAGGAACTCCCTGGCAGTGCTCAGGGAGGGCAGCAGGAGCAGAGGGGCAGACAGGGCTGTGGCAGTGACCTCAGGGTGGTGTCAGCCTTTCACAGGAGCACTGCTCATTTGGGGATACCTGTGGTCTGGGAGGGAAACGAAAGAGGCTGAAGCAGGAATTTGTTCTTTAGCTTTGGGACTTGGTGAAAATGGTAAGTTCGAGTCTTGAGTGGTTTGAATGCTCCCTGCTCACACTGCCAAGGAATGGTTTCTCACATCTGTCAGTTCTCAAGCTGGTAAAAGTTATATAGGCTGCAAATGCTGAATCTTTTGTTTTCCCTTCTCTAAAGCAAGTGCTGGTGTGGT